CTCTCTCTCTCTCTCTCTCTCTCTCTCTCTCTCTCTCTCTCTCTCTCTCTCTCTCTCTCTCTCTCTCTCTCTCTCTCTCTCTCTTCCCCCGTTGATGCCACACCTGTCTGTTTTGTTTCGTCGCCTGTTTGTTTGTTTGTTTGTTTGTTTGTTTGTTTGTTTTTGTTTTTTGTTTTTTTTTGTTTTTTTTTGTGCCCGTTTTTTGTGGGCTACCGGTCGCACCCCGGTGGGCACCCAGCCCAACGCGGCGTGTTAACGGCCGCGTCGAATTTAGCAAGCAGCGCGAGGTACTGGTGGTTTAAAATATGAGCGCATTGGAATTAAATAGGTGGGCGACCCTAATTTGTCCTGTCGCCAACGTTTCGTATGACGTGGCAATATTTTGGTCCTTAGGACAGGTAAGTTTTGCCTAAGTGTTAAATAGGAATTTTCGTTATGTGAGTTGGTTAGATATATTTTGCCCGAACTAAATGACTTCTGCTTTTAAAGGTGGGCAACCCTACTTTATTTTGTTGCTGTTGTTTAGTCCGCGGCTCGGTGCGTGTGAGGAATTTTTGTTAGTGTTTTTTATTCAGAACATGTAGGGATGGAGATGGATTTCATGGTAGGGTTGTTGTTGTGTTAGGGTTAGGAGTGTGATGATTAGTGGTCGTAGCAAGGTCGGCCCCGCGCTAGGGTTAAGAGTGTGGATACTGTGTATGCAGGGATAGGGCTCCGAGCTCCTGGTGGGGCAGGACAACCTGTCGTCCCTGTTTTCTACTATCTTGATCATGTAATAGACTTGGGCACTGGGCCCTGTTAATAAAAGTGCAATTTCGAAACGAAAAAAAAATAAAAAAAAATGAATCTCTGAATTACTTCCTAAGTTTCAGGCCTAGATCTATATATGATTTTCATGAATACACCATTGACTCTTACTCGTAACCTCAAGTCTCTCCCCTTATTCTACTCCTAGGCTAATACACGGACCTATAATCGGTCTGAGCTCGACCTAACTCGGCCGAGGGGAACTTATTCCCTTGTTAACCACTGGCACTCTACCCACCCTCCAACCATTACGGCTACTGCGACCGTCCACTGGAACCGAGTGTCCTGGTTCAAAGAAAGGATCTAACTATCTCCATACTCTAACCATGTGGCGGACCCACCAGGTGTGGTGCGCCGCCTGGGACAGAGATGGAGATGGAGGATGAAGGGGGAGCGAGATGGCACAGCGCAACTCCCACGCGAGACTCCAACGCACATACTCCAAGATGTGCTAATGTAGAATGATATGAAAACAGACAACAACTGGGGTATACCCCAGCGAACTGACGGGACTGGACTGGACTGGCTGGTACCAACAGAGGTACCGACCTGGACTAGACTACCCCGAATATAACACAGGTATGTGAGAACAAACCAAGGGGCTGGTCTCACAGGCCAACCAAAGGTTCGCTACACGATCCACGACCTGTGATGGATCGCCTAGATACAAGCACGCTTCAAGCGGAACTCTACCAAAGAAAAATAAAACCTGAGTAGTCTAGGATGCAGAGCAACCTCCATGCTGAGTCCATGCGATGCAACCTAGGATAGAAATGTCACAAAAACAACAATGTCACAGTTAATAGCCTAAGTGAAAGCAGAAACAACTAACTAGCATACATGTCATAGGAAAGCAGAAAGTAATGACAACTAAACCTTAGAATGTTGGAGGCGGTAGCCTCATTCTGGAAACAGCTGACTAGTGTATAAGTGTTAAGAACAGCAAAAGCAGAAACAACTACATCCTAGAAATGTTAGAGGCAGTAGCCTCAGTCTGAGAGCAACACAGCAACAACAAGACAACCATATGTCACAAGAGGAGTGTGTCGCAACCAAAGGGTGGGATGATCTCTGAGGGTGGCGAATGCAGCCTAGGGGTCGATAAACTCCTAAGGGCATCCACACATAAATGACAGGGAGACACAAAAGCAGCCTGCCATCCAAGAAGATTGGGAATTTATGGAGACATGTGTGTGCGTGCCTAGTCTTAGGTCAGCGATAGGATGAAATGAATAACTCTGGTGGCTCATCTCATCAAGTAAAAATTGCGGCAATACAACTACCTTGTCGGCTGCATTGAGGTTAATGTCGACGCCAACGTCCAGTTGGCAGCTCAATATGATTTTTTTTTTATAGAGTTCAACCCGGGGTGGTCATATGTTATTTTGATCTTGTGTTATTGGATGTATCTAATGATGATTTTGATTCTTTCAGTTATCATTTCAGATTGGATATATATTCTTGTCGACTATGATCGACTTTTTTTTATGTAACTATGTATGGTTGTTATAACTTTCTTTTGACTAATGTTTAAAGGGACTAGGATTGAGTTGTGGGTTTCAAGCTTGGTTGATAACGTCCTAGTCGACCGGCGTACGCTTCGTTCTTAGGAGATCAGCGCCCTAATGTACGAACGACGTTCGAGTTCAATAGACGTTTTAACCTCACGTACCTATACTACAGCGAGCGAGCAAACGCCATCGACTTACCCACCTTTGCAATTGCATTTAAAAGTTTCTACACATGGGTCGGTAGCTCAGTCGGGATACGCCCCTAAGGGTGGTGACAGGCCCTTCGGGTAGCAAATTGTGCCTTGTGGGAACCTATCCTGTCATAGGGGACCGCGGCTAGAGCGGCGAAGGAACGATGAGAATGCGTCCGCCTCAACGGTTCGCTGGGTTATTTTGCATCGTTCCCGAGTTGTCTCTGTTTTGTTGTGTTTTACTTTTGCGTGACATGGTCGGGAGGGCTTCCGCCCTTTGCAAAAAGGGTGGAGACAATGCGCTCGACAACATCATCGTAGTCATGGCTAGATTCAAACACAATAATAATAAACTAATACTAATAATATCAATTATAGTAATAATAACAATAAAAATAATAATAATGATAATGAATGTATACAAGTTATCTTTGAGGTCAAGTGCATCCACTTTACGAGTGCATCGCGCATCGGGGACGGTTGCCTGTTTGCAGCAACGATGATCAACAACTATCGAGTAAGTTTTTTTTTTTTTTTTTTTT